GGACAAAATTTAACTTAATATCTTCAGTGAACCTTAGAACCATGCCTGAATTATTCACCTCATTCCTCTTCTTTCTCAATAAAACTATGGAAGAGCATCAATAACCAAGGAAGAGTTCTCCCCTTAATTTAAATGTGAAGGAAAATTCAGTCTTACCTATAGCAGTGAGGTTACTGTAGGTCTCCAGCATCACATCTTTATATAGAGTCTTCTGAGATGGATCCAGCAAAGTCCACTCTTCCCAATTGAAGTCAACATGTATATCATCATAGGTCACTGTATTCTAAAATATCCCATACATGTGTACAACAGAAAGCATGATATGGACAACATTGTAAGTGTATACATCTTTGACAGTATAGTCATATAATTCTGGTGCTCCCACACTTATTTCATGACATAGACATTATAAAGTAATTTCCAAGTCACTTTAGATGACATATCACCTTGCAAGAGAAATGTCTATTAACAAACATAGAGAGACAAGTCAAAAGATCACCAGTCCAGAGTACACATGAGAGAAATTGTATGAACAATTACTAACTACATAAAAGAAAAATAAGATGGACAAGCTGAGTGTATTGGCTATGACTTTAACCCCAGCACTCAAAGGGCAGAGGCAGGTGTATTTGCCTCTGACTTAAATGCCAGCCTAGTCAATGCAATCTGTTCCAGGACAGGCAGAAATACATGTTAAGATACTCACTCCCATGCTAAAATCAGTCAAACAAACAAAAAAGATAGACAGAATTGCCAGGTGGTGATGACACATGACTTTAATGCCAGAAGTTGTGAGGCAGAGGCAGGTGTATTTCTGTGAGACTGAGTCCATCCTGGTCTACAGAGGGAGATCCAGAATAGCCAGGACTGTCTCACAGAGAAACCCTGAGTCAAAAAAAAAAAAAAAAAAACCCAAACAAAAGAACTCAGAAGTTCTTATTAAGTTCCTACAAAGTGTTATGCATTCACTCCAGTTCTGTACTCATCTTCCAGTAACCTGAAGTGTCAAAATTTATGCTGTAAAATCAATAAAATTTTACTGAAAGATGCTGCATGTTTAAACAGTTACAATTGGACAGATAAAAACATTAGCAATATACATTTTGACCATAAATAATCAACAGAGGGTTCAGTAGTAGTGGTAGTAGTAGTAGAAATAGTAGTAGTAATAGTAGTAGTAGTACTGGTCTTGCAGATAGGTGGACTCAATTGCCAGTACTTGCATGGGAGAATCAAAACTCTCTATTACTCCAAATTCAGGGTTTCTCAGAGCAGCTTTTGATCACTATGAGAACCAGGTACCCACATGGTGCATAGACATGTACACAGGTAAAACAATTGTATTCATTTAAAAATTTTAAAACAAATACAACACAAGGAAGAGAGTCCTGTACCTACAATCAAATGACTAAGAAGGCTCAGGCAGTATTGATGTCATAAATATATGCCATCTTGGGAAACAGAATGATACCATCTGCCAAGTTTAAATTCTATATATGGGTGAACTTCAGTACAACAGCATATGTCTGACATGTACAAAAACCAATATTCCAGGCCTATCACCGAATATTATAAAAACAAAACAAACAAACAAACAAAAAACCCAGTAATGTTGATCTACCATTAATCCTAGCACTAGGGAGCTACAGTCAGGGGGATCTCTGAGTTCGAGGCCAGCCTGTTGATCAGAACTATTTTCAGAATAGCCAGGGCTAGAAAGACAAACCTTGTCTTCAAAACAAACAAAGGAACAACAACAACAACAAAGAAAACATATTAAAACAGCAGTAACCAAACTGACTCAGCACTGAACAGCAATGGCTTCTACTGTATCTTATGTAATTTAGGGGTAGAGACTATTGTGGTGGTAAAGGCATGACAGCACAAGAGGGAAGCAGGCTGATTAGATTCAATCACAACACAGTAGATACAAAGAACAGGCAACGGGTTGAGGCTATCCCATCCCCAATGAGAAATTTCATCCAGAAAGGCTCTTCTTTCTAAAGGTGTCACAAGCAATCAAAAGAAAATAACCAAGGAGATGCGCATGTTCAAATATATCATCCTATCTGGGAAGTTTTCATTCAACCAACTACAATGTGACCCAGTCACATTAGACAGGGTCTAATGTCACTATAGACTCATAGTCATCCATGAAGAAAAGGCATTTAGTCACTTCAATGATCCTCATTGTCTGCAACAGACCCTGAGCTCGTCTATGTCCAAAGTCTCTTCTGACAAGGAAGACAATCTCTTGACAGTGACACATAAAATCAGAAAGCAAGTCATATCTTTCCAACATACAATGGCACATTCACATTCCAAAACAGAAATGGAGACATACTGAGGGAAGATTGGACCAAGACAAGAATGAAGCACAGCAGAACAAACATCACATCCTGTAGTTCTGTCTCAGATGCATGGAACTTCAGGTTCAAAGGGCTTGGATGGCCCTATCCCTGCAACTTCTTATACATCTCTCTTTAGTTACTTCCATTCACTATATGCAGATAGATCTCCATGGAAGATGTCTCATAGCTTAGGTATCTCAACATCTTGTGGTCTCAAAATGAAAACCAGGCTGTTGAGAAATATTATGCTAAGATGTGTTATATTTGTTTATGCTGTGGAACATTTGTTTTAATGATGCAACAATGTCTTGCATTATTTATGTTGCCTTTCTTTAACTCTGTGAATTTGCAATACTTTGCCTGTCTAAAAACCCGAACTGGTTTAATAAAGAGCTGAATGGCCAATAGCTTGGCAGGAAAGAATAGGCTGGGCTGGCAAGCAGAGAGAATAAATGGGAACAGAAATCTGGGAGGAAAAAAGAAGGAGGAACAAGAAAAGAAGAGGATACCAGGTGCCAGCCACCCAGCTACTCAGCAAGCCAGGCAGTAAGTGGTAAAGAAAGGTATACAGAATAGACAAAGATAAAAGGCCAGAGGCAAAAGGTAGATGGGATAATGTAAGTTAAGCAACACTGGCTAGAAACAAGCCAAGCTAAGACAGGGTATTTATAAAGAAACAATAAGCCTCCATCTGAGTAATTTATTTGAAAGCTAGGTGGCTGGCCCACAAAAGAGTGGAAAAACAAAAACAAAAACAAAAAACCAACACCAGGTTCATCCTCACAGCTTCATGCAATGACCTCTCAAAGTCTCTTAACTAGGTTTCTAACTCTGCTAAACATTGATGCCTGCAACAATGCTGAACTGTAACCAGGAAGACTAAGAATCCATGACCTTAATTTTTGATTCTTTCTTGTTTCCAGGACTAGCACATGATAAGTGATTCTGTAAAATTTGACTTCTTAATTGGGATGGACACTAACACACTTGGACCAGAGGTGCAGCAGGTTTTGTATGAAGTTGCTTCCTGGGACTAGAAATCACTTTGTTTACTCCTTCCATAATTAAAGGTTGAGCTGGATGTGGTCTTATCCTTAGGCTACCTTACTAGGATTCCATTCCAGAGCAAGGGCCTTTTCTATAAAGGTGATAAACTCCTTGAAAATTCCTGACTGTTTCAGCACTTGACTGCTATCTGGAACTACCATTTCATTTTCATTTCTTTCTTTTTTTTTTCAGAGCTGAGGACCGAA